CATCAAGCACCACGTCTCTGACCCCGCTCCCAGCCTTTGTTAGCTAAGCACGATTAATCGTCACCGAATCAAGGCGCATCCACTGTAGATTCCGATTAGGACATCGATTTATTCTGAGGCGAATCTTGGTTATTTCGATTACTGGAGCTAAATTTGAAGCAGAATCGTCTCCCATGCTGGAAGTGAACAACATCAAAAATGTCTCATCCAGCTACTGGTTTGTAAGCTATTCGTTGTGTGTTCGACAGATACAAGCTAAAAGGGATTACGTGATTTTGGAGATAAAATAAACCTTGGCCTGTGGTTCTGGTTTTCAGAATAGAGTGTATAGCTTCTGAACAATATTTATAACATATTGCACTATTGGAGGTGGGGTTAGCATGCCCGAGTAACAAGACTGGGTAGACCGATCTAGCTCCAAATTAGTTGATTTAGTCCAACAGTCGGTCTAGCATCAATCTGAGGGGCAAAGAGTGGATATGCTAGCCCTGATGACACATCGCAATGGCCAATGAAATAAAAACCAAGAAAATATCCAAGAGACGTCGAGTATAGCGCAAAGTCAGATTGAAATAAGAGTGAATATAAAGGGGACTGGCCACTTGGCTGTGAAGTGGTTGATAAATTTCGGGGTTTTGATGCTATCGGTCCCTTGCCTCAAAGTCGGTAAGGCTACGCACATCGGCTGAATAAAATATTTGGACTAATTGCTTCAACTCCGTGTTCTACTACATCGACTGAGCTCCCAATTTCATCCCATGACCAGGGTGACTCGGATGGAAATGACAGAATAGCAATGAGGTATGTGGGTTTGTCAGCATGGACGTGGAAAGTTGACCGAAAGGTCAAAACAAATGTTAATTGGGGGTACCTTACCATTAGATCCCATTGTTCTCACCAGCAATGAGTGAGGCCCTCTGGATATCGCCGATCGAAAAAGAGGGATCTACCGGTAAGTAACACGGGTAGGCGCCCAACTCCTAATTAGTAACGCTAGCTGGGCCGTAACACTGTACCTCCTGTTTTAATAATAATAAGTTCCACAGGGCGGTAAATCACAGAAAAGCCACTAGTGCTCTCAACGTACATGCAGCAACCTGTTTGGTGATTTATGCACGGTAGCTGGCGCAAGTACGTACGCGTGCGGGCTGATATAATACTTTCAGCAGTAAGTTGCCCACTACGAGAAATGGGCTCGTGGTGAATAGTTTAGGTGCCAGTGCATAGAAGGCGCGACGCAACAAAGAAACGAGTACCGTTCGAAAAAGTGATATTATCTGCGGCAGTCTAAATTTGTTAGGCTTTCCTAGTAAAACCGATAGTTTAGCTACCGTAACAGCTGGATGGGAGAGGATCCCCTGAAGCCCAACCTAAACAACACAGGGAGGGAGATTGTAATGTACAGTGATTTTATTGGTAACCTATCTAGAAATAGGAAGCGCTACAGTGAGATATCTGAAACCGAATCAGAAGCACCCTAGATATCAGGGAGGCAGAACGATGCGGTGTCTGAAACCGCAAAGATGTTGAGACGATTAGAGTAAAGAAATACTGCGGCCATTACACATACTGGAGCTGAAAACGTTGAACATTAGCCGGTTAGATATCAGCGCTGCTTCCTATGGATCTTATAAAGGAATACCTCCAGTTGAGTCATACATTGATGAAAGGAACGGTGGGAACAGCTGCAATTGGTTAGTTACCTAAGACGAAATTGATGAAACACAGAGTAAAAGAGCAATGGCATTGCCATTCATCACGAATACCATTTCCATACAAATATCATTGTCATAAGCTGGCCCAATGAAGTATTGCAAATTCCGGAACCGGGCGAGGCAAGGTAGTAATCGGTTGATCATGATAGCAGAGATGTTATCAACTAGACGCATCGCTGTTGTTGTAGTGTTCGCCGAGCCGGGCGACTTCATTGCAGACGTTCCCTCACCATTCGAGGTGGTATCGCCACTGTAAGGGTGACGGCAGTCAGGTAGCAGGAGCAAGGCAAACCCCATGATGGCTATGGAAACATTTGGGTGTTATTCTTCCCAACACTGACACACCACGACCGCGGTTTCATGCTGGTTTGAACTCGTCAGGCGGAGATAGCCTGAGCTGTGATGGAACTCAGAGCCTAGTAGTCCACGGCTGACGCCCTGAACACTATGCTACTGAGATCCGCGAGCAACGCTTGGGACAGCGGAAAGCAATGCAAAGCCAAATGTAGGGGACACGCTGTGTGGTTGGGTTGCGACTCGCAACCTCTATTGAGACCTCGGTTCACATTGAGATAAACCTCGGTCATTCCGATCTCGAGAACCGTATCCGGATGGTTACTTTCAGCCACTACTCCATTCCTTGTTAGGCGAGTATGACTATTAAGTTCGCCTCGTTCCGATCGGTGACTCATTGTATTCTGCAGTTGTGCTCAAGTTGTTACCATTGGCTGCACAAATATCATTACGACATGGTTAGGAATGTTGCACTTGGATTGGTGCGATGGACTTAGGTGAGCAGTCTTGGCTCACATTGACCGTTCTGTTCACTGTCTGGGTGGTGTACCAATCGAAGCTGTGTCCTTCTTCATCCATGTGTGCTGAAACCAGTGAGATTGCATAATGTTTATCGCGCGCCATCTACCCTAGTCGACAACTTCCTTCCTGTTCGTCCCACAGTGTGCTTTTCACAATTTCTTCAATTTGTTTTATATACGACATTCCGTTCGCATTTTGGTCTTGATAAGATTTTCCTCAGATTGGCCGTTGGTTTGTGGGATACTATGATATGATGTTGTTGGAAAAATCTGGGAATTATTTCAGATGTTCTATATCTACGGCAGAACGACCCGCTTCGTTGTCGCTGATTTAGGCTTGCTTTGTTGTAGGCTTATGGTTCGGGCATCTTCGGAGGATAGAGGGCGCGCGATAAACCTTATCCAATCTCACTGGTTTCAGCACACATGGATGAAGAAGGACACAGCTTCGATTGGAACAAAGTAGTTCCTAAACCCAATGAGACATGCAAAAAGGAGTTTCTCGAAGCTTGGTTTCCAACCAAGAACTCAAGCAACATGCATATTGACATCGATCCAATTTACCAACCGCTGAGACAGAGGGAGCTCAGGAGGATTAACAACCGCTGTTCGAAAGAACCCAATACACCATCCAGACAATGAACAGAACGGTCAATGTGAGCCAAGACTGCTCAACCACGTCCATCGCACCAATCCAAGTGCAACATTCCTAACCACGTCGCAATAATATTTGTGCAGCCGATGATAACGCCTCGAGCCCAACCGCAGAATACAATGAATCACCGATCGGAACGAGACGAACTTAATAGCCATACTCGCCTAACAAAGAACGGAGAAGTGTCTGAAAGTAGCTATTATGGGGTTTGCCTTGTTCCTGCAACCTGACTGCCATCACCCTTGCACCGATAATGCCACCTCGAATGGTGACGGAACGTCTGCAATGAAGTTGCCGAGCTCGGCAAACATCTTACCAAATGAACAAGCCTCCGAAGCTACCAGCATTCCGAGTAATTCAGACGCACCGTGGTCACGCAAGTGTACAGCAATCTCTGTTGCACTTAAGTGCCTACGATGATTTCGCTCGCATTACGCACGGTGGATTACGCATGAAGTGTTATGTAAATCCAATGGCGAAGTCTATGGATCACAAATACTGAAGTTAAACTGACATTGGTTGTACGAAACGGTACGAACAATGTAAGGAATCTAAGCGAGGTAGTTGTAGATGCCGCCGAAGATTAAGTGTGCATTGTGTTACTTTGTGGATGCCGTGATTGTCAACTTATTTCGTCGATGGCCCAGGGGACAAAGTTTGATATGTCCACATCATACTCTTGAATGATGTTCGGAGGACATAAACGTCCACTGCTTTGCTTTGTTTTATACAGTGACAGTGAAAGCGAAACACCTAGCTAGAGTGTACTGCATTGCCAGTCCTAAGTACCTGAGTTCTTACGCCCCATTGAAGCGTGAAACTACAGGTCCAATTGTATGATGGCGCGCCGAGGGTAGATGCTACTGCGCCAGGAGTCAGTGGTACGTGAGTATTGAGCGAACCAGACAGCAATGGGTCAAAATCGGCGCACCAT